AGTACTGCTTAATAAATACATGTTCTGCGAAAGTCAAATAACATCAAATTAAAAATGAATTTTATTCATTTTAATATTATTCTATATAAAACTTAAACCAACAGGTAAGTGCATCCTTCTTTCAGATAAAATCTTTTATTTTGGCTGATTTGACAAGATGGATGGAGGTTAATGTGTCCACTCCATTCAGAAAAAAGTAGAATGTAACTTCAAGGCTTCTGTAGTTGACAGGAAGGCACTAGTATGTCGATTGTAATTTATTTATTGCATAACTGCCACTTTAAAATTAATAAGTCAGTCTAACAAAAGCATGTTATTGAAAAAGGAAAAAGGCAGCAAAGTTAACATAGGTGGGATGGTCCTTTGTTACATAGAGTAAGAGCCTCAAACTTCAACTTAAATCCCCATGGTTTTCATATCTATGTCACATAATACTACAAGTTATACTTTACTACGTCGCTACAAGCATGTTTAGTGTGAGGGATTGCATCCAAGTCAATCAGTCATTCCAATCACCTGGTTTTCCTTAGATAGAAAAATTTGAATCAATTTGCCTGGATGATCTGGTGTAAAGTTCGTTGAGATGACATGTGTTGTGAATTGGCGCTATATAAATAAATAAATAAAACTACATTCATTATAATAAATGTTTTTTATGATAATAAAAAATACGATGTTTCTTGCAAATTTTTTTTGCATGGGCAGCCAGACTAGTTCACACCATGTGGGCGGCATATCAGTCAGGAAAAGGAGTGAATAGAGAACAGTTTCAAAGGCATGACAGCAAGAGACAGCAGAAAAAGTTTAAAACTTATCAGATAGCTACGGATGTGACGCAAAAAATAAAATAAAAATAAATAAATAAATAAAAGCTCTTGAAGCAGCTAGTCATTGAAATTTCAACATTTTAAACAGTTCTTATGTACATAATAAAGGACATTAATAAAACATCATCCCACCGCGGATGCATTTTTGACTGTTGTGGTTACAGAAAAGCACAGATGCATTATGGGCCTGCTCACCCCGCTTGTTTTAGAACAGCATATTTTCTTTTTTCCAATTTTCTGATTCTCCCCTTGTGCCCTGCCGCCCCACTTTGAAAACCACTTGACTAGAAGATAAGAAACATTCACTTAAACTGACAGGCTGCACAGGAAGAGCATTATTCCAAGAAGCAGGCAGTAGGACAATGGAAATGCAAGAGGAGCTGAAGGAGCTGCAGCAGCCCCACGCTCAGGTGGGAGAATCTGATAACAGATCTCTTAGTTGTGCAATCTGGAAGAGAAGAAAACTATTGTTCAAAGGAAGCTATATAGAGTCATGTTTACTTCACGCCATGCAGAGGACACAATAAAATGTGAAGGAAGGTTAGATTCAACTTATGGGCTGATCTACAAACCATTATGTGTTAAGGATGCATCTCTTCAAAAGATACAGGGAAGTTGGTCATAGCAAAGGGGAAGATGGATGAAGATATAGGCGAAATTTATTACTCTCTTTTTCTTTCCTTCTTTCTTTTCTTTCTTTCTTTGTTTCTTCCTTCCTTCTTCTTTTGTTCTTTTCACCAACTTCCATTACTGGTTTGTTGCTTTAAAACCCCCATTACAGTATTAGAGCTCCAAGATAAATTAGTATTTAGTGCACTGGTAGTTGTTATGAAAAGTATGATAACCACAGAGCTGGATGAAGAAATGTTTAAGTATATGATCTGTATATACATATTAATCTGGTGTGAAGTCAAAAGTTCTCTTTCCTAATTCAAAGAGAATCATAAAGTGAAAAATAAATAGTCTTTTCGCTTTAAAAAGTTGAGTTAAAAAGTGACAGTTCAATAACCTTCTCTCCAATAGATACTCTTATATAAAGAAAATAATTAGTTATTACTGAACCCGTGGATTAGTTTATTTTCACATATTAATTTGACCTTTTTTATCAATCAATATTCCAAATTGAAAACCTATCTGCAAGATGTGCAGCATAACAACAACTAATCAATGTTCTGTAATAATGAAGTAAGTTCCTGATTCAAACCGATTGTTTTATGTCCTGACTGCAAAAAAGTAATGCACATCAAATTACATGAAGTGAAGGCCAAAGCAGAATAGGGAATATAAAATAAATTCATGAATTTGCTTAAAACAGTTGTAAATACTGAGACTAAATTCCTACTTCCAAAGGTGACCCCTGTTACCATCCCTACCCACCCCCACCAACCCCGTGCTTTGGTCGCTAATTTATTCTGTGGTGGAAATGGAAATCCCACAGAGAAATGGAAAAGTGCGTTAAAAAGGCAATGCATCATCATTTTTCTCTGATTACGTGCATCAAACATAACAAGTCCGTGTTTGCCATGTAAACACTCTTCACTCCAACACAAGGTGGTATTTTTATACTTCTCATGTTTTCGGGGGGGTTCTAAATATGATCAAATACAAATAAACAACAGCAATCGGCCCTGGATCCAAGAAGACAGTCTTGAAGTGTTTTAAATAAGTAGAAACATGTTTTTTTTTGTGCAAGATTGATAACTGCTAACACAGCACATTGGCTTTAGGGATAAATCACATGAGTTTAAGTAATACATGTTACAGCTAATACAGGAAATGTTGCATTTTTTGGTAGATTATTTTTGGCCACTTGCTGCATCAGATGTAAAGGGATTGTATGACAGAGGAATGACATTATTAGTGATAGTCTGCAAAAATTGTGGAGAATAGAATAGAATAGAATAGAATAGAATAGAATAGAATTGAATAGAATAGAATAGAATAGAAAACCCATTATTGTCTCTGTTAAAAGAAAGCTCTGTGTTTATTCCTTGAAGCTTTCGCTCTCCGGTTCTTTTTCCTGAAAAGAGATCACTTGGAACAAACTCTTTAAATAACACCTACTAACGTATATGTATTAAATAACTATGAGACATGACAAGAGATTTTGATAGAAATTGTGATCTTACTCAGGTCAGAGAAGTTGCTTAGAGTTACAGAAAGCAGCTTATCGTGAAGTGGCCCCAATTACCAGTTAAAGAAGCATTTTATACATGTATGTCTGCCACATCATCACATTTTACATCACACGTTTGCAGATGAGGAGACCTCCATGGCTCCAGCCTTATCAAAATATTACATTATGTTCTTAGCTGAAAGACACCGCTCTCATTCCATTCTCAAATCATTGCTACGTACAGAATGAAGATTATAACTGGACCAGACCTAGGAACTGGCCTAATTAGATAAACTACTGGGGAAAACATCAGTTCTGACACACAGCAGGCAGCTAATATTAAGGTGTAATAAACTCACACATCTTAGAATGGGGAAATTCTGGTATTTACAGTAGTACAAAGATAACAGAAAAAATGGTCACACAAATGTGGACCTTAGAAAAATGTATAAGAATAACTTAATAGTGAAGAGATAAAAGATAAACAATAAAATACTGTAGTGTAAAGTCTTTTATTAATATAAATCCTGTGCACCTGAAGAATAAATAAACAATATACAGCTATGGACGTTTTTACAATAATGGATATTTGAAAACATCTGAGATGTGCGAAATGACAGCAGCATGTTATTTAACTTATACAAGCCGGACATATACTGTGCGATATTTTTAATCCCTGCAAGCACCTACAGCTCAAACTGTATGACGAAAGTGCAGAGTTTACAAGTTCACAGCTCACAATGCATGTCCTCACATTTTTCGGCCTGTCAAACATGTTTGATTTTCTCCCGACCTTATCATTCCTGATTGGGAGGTGGTCGCCCCTCGTTACCCCTTGTATACTACACAACGCATTACACATGATCAGGCTGAAAGTCAGCCCGATCCAAACACTGCTAAAAATCGGCCCGGAAAAGGACAAAAAATCCTACAGTGTATACCCGGTCAGACCAGCACACCCAAAGTCAATACCGGTTTATCCCTTTAGTTTATCCCTGTTTATCCTTTTATTGTATCCCTTTAGTTCATCTCTTTAGTTTTGTACGAAAAATAAACTTACTTTTTGGTGTTTTTTGAAGCGTATGGCGATGTCACCTTAAATAATTTGACTATGCGTATGCTGGTCTGACTCGGTATGCTCATATGACAGAACACTGGCTTAAGGTAGAAACTGAGCAAAATCAGCATGAATGTAACAACTTATTGAGGTTGTTGGGAACAGTGATGGTTATTAAGTCTTCCAGCAGCTGGGAGGAAGGATCTGTGATAACGCTCCCTGGTGCATTTAGGGTGCAGCAGTCTGTCACTGAAGGAGATCTGCAAAAGCTTCATGCATGGGGTGGGAAACATTCTCCAACAGAGATGTTCATTTAATTAAGATCCTTTTTTGTTTTTCATTGATTTAATTTATGTTTTTTTTTTTTCATCTTCTGCACTCCCTAAAGAAAGGAAGGCGTAGCAGCAATTATTTGTCTTTCTGCTCTAGAGTTTACTGGACGTCTAATTTCTTTTTCTTTTTTAAATAGATCTCTGAGGTATTAGATATCTTTAGCATATGGCTAATAGTGTTTTTTCACATATGAAACATTACTTACATAAAGTTTACTCCTTACTTTTACTTCTTAATATCATCCCACTCCATCTTTGCTTTAAATAAGCAGATTTGCTGCTGTTGTTTTCTACTTTCTGACTCTTTCTTTTTTTTTTTTTTAAAGAAAATCTTGTTTTCAAAGATAAATTGTTTTGTTTTCCAATGCATTGTGAAGTTTTTGGGGTGGCAGCCTGCTTGTTTTATCCTTACAGCTAATAAGCTGCATCTATTCAGCAGTAAAGTGTGGTTTAAGTGAGAAAGCCAGCCAGGCTTTGGAGGAGCGCTACTGAGCTGCTTTTATAGCAAGCTCTACCTTTCTGGAAGTTTACACAGAAGCAGCTGTTGCTGCTGTTTAACTTCCCAAATACCCAACATTGGTGACTTTCTAATGTCAGAGAACAGTAGATGAACTCCTTGGTTCTTCCATTTGAATGCTTTCTATGTTGGAAAGTTAAAACTCACTGACCGTCCAGCCTTGGTGACTCTCCTCTCTGTCCAGACGGTCTTATTTTCCAGGGCAGTTCATTCCTCTCACAACAAAAACCCGGTTGAAACGCAGCCGCTGCGCTTTAATTAGACAGTGGAAAATAAACGGGGACTTTCTCCTGCACTGTTAAGGTTGTTTCATTGATTTGGGGGCTTCTCTGGGAAGAAACCACTCCTTGCTGCTTTGTCCTGCGGTGATGTCATGCGTAGAATCCGCTGTACCGACCCTCCTCTGAGCAGTTTAACTGTTTACAGCCTGGCTGCTCTGCACATACACTTCATGCTGGATTTGAGTTATATATATATATATATTGCTATTTCTAAATGAAAAGCCATGCAACACCGGAAATAGAGATACAATTCATGTTGAATTTTATTTACATTTTGGATTTTAAATATATTTTAAAAATGTATTGTATAAATATATATATGTGTATGTATACATACGCTAAGACTTGGAGAGATTTATTTTGTCATTTTGTTTACAAAAGCATAAACAAAAAGAAATGTATATATATACGTATATACTTTTTTTTTTTTTTTTTTTTGCAAAAGGAAAGCCATGCTACACCAGAAAACAGCCCCCAATTCAAGAATAGTTATTACACTGATCACCACTGTTTTATGCTGTTTAAGAATTTTAGCGTTTTTTCTTTTTTTGTTGTTGTTTTTTTCTTTTTTGGGGGGGGCGGGGGGTTTATTTAGTTTCTTTTATATGACGCCAATTCACAACACATGTCATCTCAAGGCACTCAAATGCAATCCCTCTCACTAAGCATGCTTGTAGCAACAGTGGAGAGGAAAAACTCCCTTTTAAAAGTAAAAAAACCTCCAGCAGAACCAGGCCAGTGTGAGCGGCCATCTGCTGAGTCCGACTGGGGTTCAAGGAGAAGGAAGCAGAGACACAAAAGGCAACTGCAAAAGGCGGCCCCGTCCAGGAAACACACAGTCAGGCAGACAAGCTCCAAGCCAGCTCCCATGTCAGAGGATGAGGAGAGCACATCCAGCCAGTCACAGTCAGAGAAACAGGACTACACTGGAAAACTAGGCCGATCTCCAACATCTATAAACAAAGGTGTTAATGGCAGCAGCACAGCTGATATTTCTCTCCATGATGGTGTCAGCCAAACAGGAACAGACGTAAGAAAATAAACATTTCAAGTCTTTTTACATGAAAATAAATGTTTCCCTGCCAACACAGAAAAACAGACCATTCGCTAACAGTGGTGAGTTATGATAAAATGCACAACAATTATGACTGCCTGTATAATATTCCCCCACTACCACGTTTAAATTACTTTATCTTTATTATTTCATTCTGTGACCAGCTTTAGAAGTGAGCACTTCATTTATTTTTCTCTTAATTTAGAATTATCAAGTAATTATGCATACCTGGAAAGTTAACTAAAGGCTATAAGCGATGTTATATATACCATCTTTAAATATGGTGATTCTTATTTAAGTAAGCTTGCTTTGTTTCAAGTAAGGACAGATAACCATCCATCCATTTTCTGACACGCTTTATCCCAGTTGGGGTTGCGAGGGGTTCTGGTGCCTATCTCCAGCTGTCTACGGGCGAGAGGCAGGCTTCAGGTAGGGTCCAGTCCATTGCAGGGCAACACAAAGACAAACAGGACAAACAACCATTCACACACACTCACATCTAATGAGAATTTAGAGAAGCCAAATAACCTAACATGCAAATACCATGCAGCAAAACCCCGGGCTGGGAATTCAACCCACAACGTTCTTGCTGCAAGAATTCCTACAGAATTACAGATGACCTACTTTGTTAAATAACCTTGTAGTAGGAGTGGTCTACAACCATTGAATTAATTTTACCTATAATCAGTACTCGAGTTGAGGGGGATTGGTTGAGGGATTTCTTAAAGAATCTTTAAAAATCATCCTCTTTCTTAAATGACCATCCTCCCATACCATTTCCTGTGACATTTTATTACTGAATGCGTAAATGTTCCACTAAATATTTACAGTAATGGCAATAATATTGCCCTTTCAACATTTGGGGGGCTGTGGGCTTATGAGTAGCCTGAGCAAAATAAATCAAATCACAGAAGTGTCCTACCAACTAGACTATTGCCTATAATGTCATGTATTTGTGTTAAGGTGATGTATCATGCATAAATAAAGTAGACCTGCTGTACCAACTTGCTAAGTGCTTTCAACTGGAAGTTGTTGAGAAAAGGCAATGCACTGAAATGTTGATTTGTACTTGTGACAGTGTAATGACTATAGAGTAGAATTCCATTCTTTCTAAGTTGAACGTAATACAGACAAAATTAAATAAACAAAGCAACAAGTTAAAACTAACTTATTTAGAGTATAAACATCCTATCCTATGAAAATAAATTTTACAGGCAGTTAGTTTTATGTCTACAATGAAAGACCCAATGGGAGTCTATGTCTTCTTCTTCTTGTGAGGTTTTATGGCGGTTGGCAAACTAGTTAAAGTGCATCACCGCCATCAACTGTTAAGGAGTTAAAAGAGAAAACAGGAAATAAGACTCACCCCCAGAAAAAAATTATAATAATAATAGTTTTCCGAACTGTATGTTTTAAACCCAACATAATGAAATACATAATTCAAATTTGTCCTCATAATTACTAATCTGTCTTTATGTTTATGTTACTCTGCCAGTTTCTGATGGTCCTACTCGTTCTCCCATCATACATTCAACCATTTCCCAGTTTAAATCTTTCACTTCAAGGTATTTTTCTGCAGCTTTAACTATTAATTTTTTATTTATTTTTTTCAGTTTTCTTTGTCGTCTCATCACTACAATTGATTATCTCCCCCATAAAAAAGTAGAAAATTCTTCTTTTTTGGGGAATTCCTCCAGAGGTTTTGAACTTTTTATTTGGGCCACTGTTGGTTTGGGTCTTTCTGACTGGGGTGGGATTCTTCTTGCAGCTTCAGCATAATTTATTCCAAGCTCTAATTTCACTTTTCTGATCTCTTCAGATCTTTTGCTCACTTCCCAACCGCAATAGGCAGCAGTTTGTTCTCCGACACAGTTACATTTCTTCTTTCCCACACTTTCCATATTCATGTTTTCCATCACACATTCCACATCATTGTTTTCCCTTACATGCTGCTGCTATATGTCCAAATTTTATCCAATCAGAGACTTCTCGTTCTTCTTCTTCTTTTTCACAACTGTGGGGTTTTAATACTGTTTTGTACACGAGTTCTGATTTGGGAGAGCTAAAATATAACAAGCTGCTAATGTAATAATGTAATGTTGACCTGAGTTTTTAACTGTTTTTTTGTTAAATTATTGTTCAATAAATATTTTGTTAAAAATCTTCTTCTTCAGAACAGGGAGGATTATATTCAGTTGTGGGGTTTTAACACATTTTAACAACATTATATGTACTGTGTTAGATGGTAGAGAATTACATTTTAACAAGCTCCTCATTTAATGATTTTATCTGACACTTGTTTTACCTTAATAGTGATTTTTAACTGGCACTTATTTTTCATCAATTGTTATATGCTAGAATTGTGTAAATAAAAGTTTTTTAAAAAAGACCTCTTCTTCTTCCTCTTGTTCTTCTTCTTCTTGTGAGGTTTTATGGCGGTTTGCAAACTAGTTAAAAGTGCATTACCGCCACCAACTGGTAAGGAGTTAAACAAGGAAACAGGAATCAAGACTCACCCCCAGAAAAAATTTAATTAAATGTAAAAAAAATTTTAAAAACATAATATTTTTCCGAACTGTTTAACTTACCCCAACATAATAAATACTTAATCACATTCGCCCTCATAATTTCGAGTTTATCCAATCAGAGTCTCGTTCACGTAGAGGAAGTTGCGTCGATCACGTGACAGGAACCAGGAAGTAAGAGTCTGTCAACATAAAACGGTGAGTATGCATTGTTTCACTGTAGTTCACTGTAAACGACGGTGTATGCGCTTTGTGTTTTGCTATTTCAACACAGCTGTAAACAAAACATCACCAAGTGAAACCTTTAGTATTTAATTTGCTAGATTGTTTCTTTTAATAGCTGCTTAGCAGCAGCTAACAGTGGCTCAGCTGTTCTGCGAGCCAAACCTTCCCTTTATAAATCAAATTAGTAAATTAACCAAAAAGTCATGCAGAATGGCAACGTTTTACTTAAATCAAACGGACACCGACAGTAAAACATATATAATACCCTGTATCTTTTTGTCTGCTAAACTGCGCAGTGTTTATGTGTTGTGTTATAGCTGCAAGGGATGACTTCTTCAGAATGGCACCTTTCGTTAAAGCTGGTGGATCAGCCCAAATCCACCTTCCACTTCCCAGAGATGATGCCTGGGGACGTCCCACCAGGAGGATACAGAGTGGCCACGTTAAAGCAGCTTGTTGCAGCTCAGCTTCCAGAACAAATCCCAGATCCTGAGCTAATAGGTCAGTCTGCTTTTTAAAATATACAGAGATGTCAATTAACAAAGTACAAATACTTTGTTACTGTACTTAAGTACTTTTTTTTTTAGGTATCTATACTTTACTCCGTTACTTATTTTTCTTCCCACTTCTGACTTCTATTTATTACATTTTAACACAAGTATCTGTACTTTCTATTCCTTAAAATTTTAAAACAAAAGTTACTCGTTACTCTTGGCTTCAGTTTAATGTTTATAAATATTTATTTCACGTCATGTGCTCCATCCAATGCAGATCATTGGCGCCATCCACATCTAGTGAAAAGTAGTGTAATTGGATTGGAGTCATGTAACGCAAACACTCATTGGTTAGCTAAAGGAAATCATCAGAAGCAAGAAGGTGTTCTTCAAACTGAAAACTTGAATTGTCTATGCCATGCTACAATGTTGGATTCAGAAAAAGATGCTGAAAGGTCGTACACAGGCAAGAGCGTGTCGGGAGATGGAGACCAACATTATCTCCCTCATCCCTGGCCCTTTCTCACAGAATTTTTCAAAATAGTCAAAAAAAATTAGCTTTTAATTCATATAGTGGCATCTGGCTGTTTTTGTAAAGGTTACTTTATACTTTTATACTTTAAGTAGTTTTTGGAGCACATAGTTTTTCACTTTTACTTGAGTAAAGAGGTCAAGTTGATACTTCAACTTTTACCAGAGTGTTTTTAAACTGCAGTATCTATACTTCTGTTTAAGTAACAAATGTCTGTGCTTTTGACACCAATGAAAATAAATATGTTTTTAGGTTTCTATGCTGCTTAAGTATTTAAGATTTACTACGCAATTGCATGTGTAAATAATCCCAAAATGTTCTCCATGTGTTCAGAGCTGGTTCACTGTGGGCGTAGGCTGAAAGATGACCTCACATTGGATGCCTGTGGAGTTCAGCCAGGTTCCACTTTACATATTCTCAAGAAGACATGGCCTGAACCAGAGGGTAATCCAGGTGTGTGTATGCCACTTCAATAATGCATGCTGCTCAGACTGCATTGTAAATAACACAGGAGGTCTAATAATGAGTGTGTCTGTCCTCTCTTGCATAGAGCCTGTGAACAGAGCCACAGCAGCCAGAGAGTTCAGGGTGTTTAATGCGGCTCTTCATTCACTCAACTCAGCGTATAGAGACTCAGTGAGTAGATTTAAACAAATGCATTACTTCTTTAGATAATGACATATTATTTCTATGCTTTTCACAATTCTTAGATTGATTTTATTTTGTTAAATTAAAGAAAAATAATTAAAGTTTCTGAAAAGTCTCAATAATAATGGAGCTCTGAGATAAAGTTGTTTAGAAGTAAATAAGAGGTTTGTGTTGAGATTTTTTATTGACATTTGGAAGTTTAAACATTAAGAGAAAAAACAAAAAAGTAAAAAAAAAAAACTCTTGAATTACAGACATATGCAGACAAACAAACAAAAAATGTTTTTAGTTTGAAGTCTGACAAAGTCCAATCAATTTCAAAGTCCTCAGTTTTTCCCTTTACGATATAGGTTTGTCTATTTTTCTCTACGTTAGAGCAATGATTCTTTCACCTGCTAAAGTCAATTAATTCAGAGGAAGTAAAGCTCTTCAGGTAGATACTAAACAAAAACCTCTATTCCCTACAGTGCTGGAAATGGTGCTTAAAAACCATAATCTATATCTTTTGATTTTTGGACTGTTCCATAAACATTAAAATAATAAACCTCTACAATCAGAAAATTTAAAACAAATATCTTGAATGCCAGGAGAACATTTATTCAGTTTCCCAGGTGAAATATAAGTAAAAGTCTCGTTTAGCTGATTGTTGACTGAGAGAAGTGATCATCTGTCCGAACGGTAGGTCAACTGAATTCCCTATAAAGTACAATATATAGTCCCCGCTCTATATAGTGATTAAGGACACGTTCAGGCACAGTAAAGGGCAGATTATACTTCTTCAACCGCACACATCAAATGTTGCTTGGGTGTGGTCGTGAACCAGTTTTGCTGGTATGCTTCTGCACAGTTGGTCTGGAATTTCTATGGACACAAAGCAGTTTTCCACCAAAGAGCAAGGGGGAGCCTATTCAAGCATTCAATAGGGTAAAGGTGTAGAGGAGAATCCTCCTTTACACCTTTAAGTTTACAATTACCATTTGTCATGTGGTCAGATGAGACCAAAACAGAACATTTCGGCCATAATTCCTCTGATTGTGTTTGGAGGAAGAAGAATGATGAGTACCATCCTAAAAAAACACCATCCCTAATGCAAAGGATGGGGGTGGTAGCAGGGGTATTTTTCTGCACATGGGACAGGGTGACTGCACTGTATTAAGGAGAGGATGACCGGGGCCATGTATTGGGGAACAACCTTCTTCCATCAGTTAGAGCATTGAAGATGGGTCGAGGCTGGGTCTTCCAACATGACAATAACCTGAAACAAACAGCCAGGATAACTAAGGAGTGGCTCTCTAAGAGTCCATATCAAGGTTCTGGTGTGACCTAGCCAGTCTCCAGACCTAAATCCAGTAGAGAACCTTTGGAGGGAGCTCGAACTCTGTGTATCTCAGCGACAGCCCAGAAACCTGACTGATCTAGAGAAGATCTGTGTGAAGGAGTGGGCCAAAATCCCTCCTGCAGTGTGTGCAAACCTGGTGAAAAACTACAGGAAACGTTTGACCTCTGGAATTGCAAACAAAAGCTACTGTGCCAAATATTAACATTAATTTTCTCAGGCATTCAAATACTTATTTGCAGCTGTATCATACAAATAAAAAGTTAAAAAAAAATCATACATTGTGATTTCTGGATTTTTTTTAGATTATGTCTCTCACAGTGGACATTCAATTAAAATTTCAGACCCCATTGACTTGCAAATAGCAGGGTGTACAAATACCTATTTTCCTCACTATCAACACAAGGTTTGCTGAGGAGTGAAAATGTGCTGCTATAAATTGGGCCGACCAGTAACACCAAACCAGATTTGGGGTTTTAAGTTAAAAAACAAAATAAGAAAATTCCTGTTAATATTCCATCAAGGCAACGCCAGACACAACCCTTCACCTAAACTGACGGAGCATTTCTCTGAGAAGCAGCTCAGAGGCCCATAGGGGCAGCACACTGAGAAAGCTGCAGAAATCCACACCACATTTGGTGAACCTGTTGACACAACAAGTCCTGCTATATGCCTTTATGCTAAAGTAACAGAAAAAAAACAAAACATGTCTGAACCAAAAAGGTTTTGTATGCAGTGCATCAAATTGATAAAATAAGATGTTTTGGTGTGGAAGCATATTGCCTTCATCAAAGAAAACAAATCAGACAGCTTATCTCATAATTACGAGATAGGAATCTCATTGCTATGAGATACTGATCTCGTAATTATGAGAAGAGATCTATTTTTAGATCTTTATATTTGGTCATGATTACTTAAGCCAGTAATGTAGAATCTCTCAGAAAACTTGTCTTAATGATTACTTTTTAAGAATTTCTGCATCTGTTCAACTTAACAGTTCTCTGTACCGAGGAGCTGATTAACATACGAGCTCTGCTCCTGTTTTTCACTTTATCAATAAAGTACGCAGCTATAACCCTGGGATTAATACTTGTGGCTTAAGCAGCCATATGACCATACACGAAAATCCAACAACAGCTCCATTAATACAGATTCTGTATTGTTTTAGTTTTACATATGAATTGAAATGCTGCATGAAGTATGGACCTGGTGGTTTTAAACGATTCTGAAGCCTCAGCTGTTCTCCCTAAGGATCTAGGGTTTTTGATCAGGTACTGGACAGTTCTTTGGGACACCACCAAGCCAGCTGGAATGCAATTCAGACGCATAGATTTATTTCCACAAAGTCTTCCGTGCTGGTCTAAATGCTGCTGCAGGAATAGTGCGACTTCCAGCAAGTCTGAGTAGAGAGGGATTTTTCTCCTAAACAATTCAAAGGACTTAACCTACCTGCGCAGTAGAGGTGGGCGATACCGGGAATTTTTAATCGATACAATACCAAGTAAATACAGGCTCAGTATCGCCGATATCGATATGATAACGATACTTTTTAACATTTAAGCTTGATGCATCATGGAACTGCTGACCTTTAAGTGTTTCTGTGATTTTTATTGTATTATTACAATTGAATAATAATAGAATTAATATTGTTCTGTTCATAGTGTAGTTCATATTATATCTTTCAATCCTTATGTCATTTTTTTTATTGTGTGCATTTGTCTGTTGCTTTAATTCTATAAATTTCCTAATTGTGGGATAAATAAAGATTTAGCCCTTTTAGATAACATATTTTAATGGGATAAATGTTCTGGAATCTTTTAATTACACTTTCTGAGTAGGCTTCAATAATATATGACATATAATATCTACTTTGAAAGTTCATATGAAGCTGTTATTCTCTAGAGGTCTGAAACGCCTCTGTCAGTGACATCTTTCTGAGGCTCGAGGGTCTATTGGGGCAATGACCGAAGTTTTGTCTCCTCTCTCTGTTTCTATAGCTCGACGTTTTCTTGCTCATGTTGGTTTTTCATGTGCTTATATAAACTTGTTGTGTTTCCACTTCATTTCATCGGCTTTTTACAAACCATACAGATTATCTGTTGTTTCATTTACGGTATTAAAATATAGTCAAACGGCGCTTCTTTCTCTCTTCTCCATGTTTTTCTGCTCCTCTGCAGAGCAGCAACTCAGTTGTATGTTTGATGAGGGGAGAGTGAGCTGAGCGGGCGGCCAAACTGAGCCTGCGTGCTGAGCCGGTGACGAGAGGGGCACCAGGAATGCGCTGTAACAGGCAGGCTGACTGGTGAATCTGCTGTAGTTAGTGCGTGCGGGAAAGAATAAAACTTATCAGTCTTGTTAAACAAATATTGTTCAATATCAATACCAAAGTTGGTATCAATAGTATCGATCCTACGATCTATCCGCCCATCTCTACTGCGCAATGCTAAAAAACTAAAATTAATTCCATCCACATTGAGGAAACTCAGTATTTCCCAGGTGTTGCACGCATAAAAGGAAATAAAAGCAGATTAAATCTGACAAACCACTCATGTTCACATTTCATGTAGCGTAGCTGAGCAATTAATGTCCTTCCTGATCTCCTAAATATGACAATATGTCATCTGAGATCACATGATATTGAGATCAGGATAATTATGAGATACTGATCTCGTAATTATGAGATAAGCTGATTTATTTTCTTTGGTGAATGCAATACGCTTCCGTACTTTCCTCATTTGAGAGCAAATTATATATGTTTAATTAGTTTTTTTCCCTGTTTTTTCTAAGAGGGCTACTATACATTCATAAAAAAACATGCCTGTTTGCTGCATGTTGTCCATGTTTCAGGTTTTAGCTTAATGGGTTTTACACCTTTGATCTGTCATATAAATTCTCAATTAAAAACTTTAAAGTTTGAGTTGCCAACATGAGAAAATTATGACAAGTTAAAGGGTAATGAATATATTTGTATGTATCTGCATGATGTATCCTATAAGAAGTAGTAATTACTACCTGGTTTAAATTCAGGAGATGAATGTTGAACTAAAAGTTGAAGGCACTTTATCCGTCAGAAACATTTCCTCTTCACAGCGATTTCCCTTTGAGACAGCAGAGCTGATATTCAGGCTGTTCTGGCTGTTTAAAACAGGCAGCCTACTTCCTGAAACCTGTCACCAGAGGATCTCTATTTCTGGCACAAGTGTGTTTTGTACAATTTGACCACATGAGACATAGTGCAGCAGCTGGTTATTGTTGGCACTGAGTGGTTGATTTAGCTCCAAGATCCAGGTGAGGTTAGATAAGCTGAAAGGCAAGATGTGAATCAATCTGCTGCTTTGTCATCAGGCTAGACTAGATAAGGGAGAAAAATGACATCAATTAAATAGTCATTTTACTTAAGCAAGTTGTCTTCTAATACCTACGAAAAAATGTAAAGTACTAAACTGACATCCTAAATAATAAAGTTTTTTCTTAACCAAACAAGAGACTATGTTTGGATGCACAGAAACCTCCTGCTGACTTAAACTTCTTACTTTAGAGACAACGTTTGATTTATATTACTGATCTGATTAACTTTTATTTAAGTCACCAATCATTGCTTTATCTGTTACTATTGCCTCTCATATGGAAATTTTTAGGGATGCACGATATAATCGGCCCCCTGTCGGTATCGGCCTGTATCGGCCATCCCACCGATATTTAACCCGATATTTGATCAGCTTCTGAGTTTCTAAAGTCTAAAAAAAAAATACTACT